GCCGATACAGAGCCACACTAAAAACTTCTAGAAGAGATGCTTGTTGATCTGTTTCTACACCATCTTGGTCAGCGACTAGTCTGCCTAGCAGGGCAAAATCCTGCGCTTAAATCCCCCTCGTGTCTCCTCGCTCTCTTCCTTGGGGACAAGAGACCTCTACCTGGGTCCAATCATGCGCGTTTAATTGAGGGGAAACTCCGCCCCAAAAATATTTTGACCCCACCCCTTTTTAATTGAGAGAGGGCCCGCAACTAGCGAGAGTGACAACCTGTCGGGTTGTTGTCATACGGCTTGGCCACCAGAGCGTTTCCCACGCTTTTCCCCGTGGGAACGGTCAACCACTTAGCTCTCAGCGGGGCGTCTTGTAGTCTAATCCTTGTTCGGGGTATACCGCGGCCTTCTACGACCTTGCAGACGTCGCCGCAGTTACAAAAGGAATAACTGTCGGCGGCGACGTTCTAAGGAGAGCACCCCATTTTGCACTTATCGGTTCCCTTTCATGTGCCGCCGTTTCTCACGGTCAGTCGGGGAGTACGGCGCCCGTTAATTGCCGTGACGCGGTGTCGCCGAAAATAGCCGCCCGTGACACTGATGCATAAATCAACTTCAGCGCATGGCAGCTAACCACATTTGACGTTAAGCCGACGTGACGGGTGTATCAAAGTGGTATATATGTAGTGTTTATAAAATTGAGTAGGCAGCACTGCAACCACTATTGACGTTTCACAAAGATTAGCGTTTATTTGAAAACCGTATAGTTCCGAGACCTGGTGTAGCTTTGCAGTAAAATGCTTCAGTGCCATGCAGAATCATTGCGTTCAATTCCAGCTGAGACCTTGACAATATTTGCATTCGTCGGGTCGACGCTACCGATGTCAGGTATTTCTTAACGCTCGCGCGTCCAAATCGCCCATGTGTGTTCTCGTCGTTCTTCGGTAGGTACTAAGCGTCAATCACTTGCGACCCATACCCGCATACCAGCAGCACATACACTCCCGTGGATATGTACCACTGCCTGGCGGGAAGTGTTTGACGACGTACGCGAGGGGATTGTGACATTATTCATGTCTTGACCAGCATGTCATATTTGTCAAAACATCTTACCATACCATGCTGATTTTGGTTCGCACCCGGTTAAAGAGGTTACCACGAGAGCACCCAAACGTAAGCGGCTATCTATCTATCTATCTATCTATCTATCTATCTATCTATCTATCTATCTATCTATCTATCTATCTATCTATCTATCTATCTATCTATCTATCTATCTATCTATCTATCTATCTATCTATCTATCTATCTATCTATCTATCTATCTATCTATATATCTATCTATCTATCTATCTATCTATCTATCTATCTATCTATCTATCTATCTATCTATCTATCTATCTATCTATCTATCTATCTATCTATCTATCTATCTATCTATCTATCTATCTATCTATCTATCTAGCGTTCTACGACTTTTAGTTCTCCTGGCCGTTTCGATAGCGATTATTAAACTTCTCAGCGCAAAAACTTCCGACAACACAACACACGAGGACGAGCTCAGGCTTTCAACTAATTTCTACTACGACGCGCATATATATGTTACACAAAAAAGACGATAAGAACACTTGCTTGAGCAGAATTTAAAAAAACACACAAAACCAAAAAGTCAAAAGAGACTGCAAGGAACCACGTGCTCACACTGGATTCTCAGGTGCCTAATTCAAAAAACGCCAATTCTTTTTCTGATAACGCTATTGGTGGTTTGCTGATGCAGCGGCCTCGAGTGATGGCTGCAGCTGAAAAAGAATGGGCGTTTTCGAATTCGGCACGTGAGGATCCTGTGTGAGCGCATGGTTTCTTGCAGTCTCTTTTGACTTTTTGGATTTGTGTGTTTTTTCTTTTTTGGCGTTTTTTTTGTTTCTGCTTAAGCAAGTGTTCTTATCGTCTCTTTTGTAACATATATATGTGCGTCGTAGTAGTAATAAATTAGTGGAAAGGCTGTGTTTGTCCTCGTCTGTTGTGTTAGCTGTCGGACGTTTTTGCGCTGAAGAGTTTAAGAATGGATTGCCAACTAGCCCAACCCCACACTTTACTTCGATAATGATATCTATACGAAACTTGGTATTGCATAGCATGACTCCATGAAGAACATATTTGACTAGTCACAACATGAAAATCATGACATGTATGTCATGAATGTGATGATTTACATGGTCCTGCAGCTCTTGCGGTGGTTTCGTTCACATGACATGCTGCAAAACTGGTATGGCATGGCATGATTGCATGGCAAACACAAGCGAGAGACCCTAACATGAAAATCGTGACATGCGTGTCATGTAACAACATGCCTACACACTACGCTCATAATGCGCTCGCAGCCGTCACTAGCGTCACATATACCAAATTTGGTATTACAGTACGTGAATGGATGACGAAGGTATGTGAATGGTGCAAGCATGATAATCATGAGATGCGTGTCATGTACTAATATGACTTAATTCCACGCTCATGATGCGCTGGTGGTCGTTTCGCTAGCTTCACTTATACCACATGTGGTACTACGGGACGTGAATGGATGACGAATGTATGGTACTTGTGCAAAGATGATAAACATGAGATGCGTGTCATGTAACAACATAACATGACTACATTCTGCACTCATGATGTGCTCGTGGCCGTTTCGCTATCGCTTCATATGTACCAAACTCGTTATTACGTGATGCGAACGGACGACATAGGTAAATGACACATCCAAACCAGATAATCACTACATGCGTGTCATGTAACAACATGACTACATGCCACGCTGATGATGTGCTCGTGGCCGTTTCGCTATAGTTTCACAAATGCCAAATTTGGTATTATGGTACGTGAATGAATGACGAAGGTATGTGACTGGTGCAAACATAATAATCATGAGATGCGTGTCATGTGAGAAAATGACTACATGCCACAGTCAAGGTGCCAATACATCTTGACGTGACGTGGTGCGCGTACTCGCTGGCGTTCATTTCGTCGCGTCACGCCGGCGTTGCCATGCCAGGTGCCAGTCCTGCCATATACTCGCAGGCGCGCGCCAGGCTGCATTGCTTTGACGCATGCGCGTTTCAGCGCGTCCAGCGTCCCTCCGTCACAAAAAGAGGGAGACGCAGTGTTGTCTGGGTAACGCATCAGCATGAAATGCAGCATGTCGCATTCCGTGCCGGTTACCGTCGGGCCACACCGACGGACGCTGGTCACGCCTGGCATCAGACTATAGAGTGCTCGCGTTTTGCTAACGTAGCGTCGCTGTGCCCAGCGTGCACGCTCGTCAACGCTACATTGTAGTATATTGGGTCCTTCATGATGTGCTCGCGGCCGTTTTGCTAGCTCAACATATACTAAATATGGTGTTACGTGACGTCAATATATGACGAAATATATGAATGGTGCAAACATGATAAGCCTGACACGCGTGTCGAGAAGAACAAGACAACATACCACGCTCATAGCATGCTCGCGGCCGTTTCGTTACCCATATACTAAATTTGGTATCACGTGACGTGATTAGATGACGAAAGTAAACAACACATACAAACATGATAATCGTGACACGGAAGTCATGTACGACATCATTTACCTCCACCTCGTAACATTACGTTGATTTTAAAGTGACATAACATTTCTCATTCGTGCTTCGCAAATCATCGATTCACACTGTACGTGAGATCTGCCAATTTTATGGGCGAAGCTCCTTAGGGCGTGGGCTGTGCGTCCCCTGTAGCCTGTATGTAGCCACCTCTAGTTTAGTTCTTGCAGTGTTCACTAGATGGCGGTACCGTCCCCTGTATGTAGCCACCTCTAGTTTAGTTCTTGCAGAGTTCACTAGATGGCGGTACCGTCTCCTGTATGTAGCCACCTCTCGTTTAGTTCTCGTAGTGTTTACTAGATGGTGGTACTTGTAGCTGATGATGAAAAGATGCAAGATGTTATAAACTAGAAAGCGGTACTTGTAGTTGATGAAAGACGCGAGATCTTATAAAATAGGAATGAAATAGGAAAGCTGAAGATCTCAGGCTACCACTCACGAGTCAAAGCCAAAACGGAGAATATGCAGCCATCAAACTCTTTGACTCTGGAATCGTCCTCATGACCATGTACCTCGCACCCAACCTGTCGACCGGGAACATCAAGACATTCATAGACACTGCGTTACGAAATTATGAGAACAAATACAAGAATGGACCATTTGTACTACTTGGAGACTTTAACGAGGCTATCATAGACAATAATTGGCTTATCCAACATATTGCTTCTAGATATGCACTCAGACGTATATCGTTTGACCATATGAAACCTACCACGATCCGAGGAACATGCATAGACCTAGTATTTGCAAATTGCCCACTGCAACCCATACAGGAACCGCTCTCCCTTCATTTCACAGACCATAAAGTCGTCATAATGAAGGGACGTCGCAAGCCATCGATCGTCTAAGAACAAATAAAAGTTGATTTGTGTATATACACACACAGCGTTTCTCACGTCTTTACATGATGATCGACTGGGCGAATTACTCGGAAGATTCACAGTTTACCGATGAATCCCTCCGGAGCTTCGCCCATTCATCATCATTCACCCCGTGAATATGCCGTAATTTTTTTTCATCCGACATCTGCTGCGTAGCGATCGTTTCAACCTAAATATTGTAATGGTAACTCAGACACACAAAAGCGAAATACTTTTTAACACGGCTTTAATCTGAAAGCCACTGCCACCGGCCTCACTGTTCTCCAAAATACTTCGTCTTCCTCATTCTCTGTCCTGCGCCTTTCCTCTGCTAGTATCCCACTACCCGTCAGTTTACACCATAACATCTTTCCTCCAGGAAGGAGGGAGGAGGTGGAAGAAGGGCAGATGGTGGGCGATACAATTGTTTCTTGAGGGCAGTTCTACTTAGGTTCTTGACCAATCTGCAGTGAATGGTGCTGCACTGAACGCATCGGATGGGTTTTGCGATGACGAACCGTCTTCATTCTCAAGACGCAGACTGTTGTGGAAAACTCGCACGGCGTGTTAAAAAAGCTGTTGTCGACAACCGTGATGTTGGGGAGGATCTTGTGCCGCATGGTACGTGACTTCGCCTGCCGGATCATGAACAACGCACTGTCCTGTTGCGCTGCCTTTTCAATGGTGTTCTCCCAAGTTCGAACCTGGTCCTCGTAACTTGTCCCTTGGCTTGGTGGTCTCTCCACGATCATTTTACTTGTCACCAGCTGTTGAAGAGCAGGCCCCCACTTGATGTTATTCAGCTCACGATGAGAGTGACGTATGTCTTCTGCCTCTTTACCGTGCCCTGATATTCCGACGTTAGACGCAAAGGTCCCATAACCACCTGTATTCGGTGATTCCCGGAAAGCTGTTCGAAGTGAGCGAAATAGAGGCTTGGACTGTTGCTCTGATTTCCATGGTTGACGCCGCAGCTTAGAGCACAGGTTCTTTGATATGTCTTGCGCAGTCATTGTGGTTGGTCCCGGCTGTGATGGAAAGTTACAACAAGCAAACGTTAGGCTCTGGAAATGTCCTTCAGCAAACTCGACAAATTTTCTTTTCTTCTTTCTTCGGCGTCTGCGTCGTGCTTCTTCGCTTGTGCCATTCACATTCGCCAGATTCTCTAAACTGCTGCTCTCAACAAAGCCGAGAGGTGCCAACTCGCACACGGCCATCTCCTCCGTTTTCTTTCCCTCGTTGCACTCGTTTCGACATCGTTCTCCGCGTGCGTCCTCCTCAACATTACTCACACCACCGACACAACACATCGGTTCATCATGGAGCACGCTTGGCTTATTCTTGAAACAAACATGGCTTTGTTCCTGAGCAACCACACGTTGGTCTCTGGCGTCCTGAGTGCCCACCACTACAACTGAGTGGGGGGCAAGAGCAGTATACTTCCTTCTGTTGGTTAAGTCAAAGTGCAACTGTTCAATCAAGGCCTCCCACTTTCTGCCACACATTGCCGAGATATCCACAAGTGCGTCCCTCGACAAGTCATCCTTCGTGTGTTCCATGCTGCCGAATCCCACCGCTGCCACCAATTGTAACGGTCACTAAACACACAAAAGCGAAATACACTTTAACACGGCTTTAATCTGGCAGCCATTGGCACCAGTCTCACTGTATCCCTGGACTCATGGCTCACACCCACACAGGGAGATATGCCAAGAAAGCGCAGTGCATTTTTCTGTGAGCATTATATATGTGTAATGAATTTGTATTATGATACGACTAACGTAAGGAAAACCACATAAAAAGAGCAAACGAAAAAAAGAAAAAGAATGAAATAGTTCATTTGAGAAATTTTGAGATTTCAGGTGTTGTGATTACCACTCAGCTGCGTTTACTTCACCTCACCATTTAGAATTTTTTTGCATACTAAATAATAATTACTTGATTGAAGATCACAATGGGGTACGTTTTGATGCCTGAATATAATCGCAAACGTCATTTAAAGCGTCCCTGTGGCAATGTCCCAAAACGGAGGCACCAAAGCTTAGTGCAGTTTCCACCATCAATGTAACACCTATTTCAGAAATGGAATAACTAGAAGCCTTTTTCTAAGTATAGCGTATCGGGAACAATACAAAAAATAATGTTCACTTGATTCAATTTCTCAGCAGACTGCGCAGAGGGGTGATATCGTCTGACCAGTTCTGTGTAGATACAGGTTTAGGGAGGGGGGGGGGGGACACGACATCGGAATTTAGTAATTGAAACTTTGAGCTTTCATGACTGGCTCTAGTGGGGTCGCCATGAAAACTTGAGGTGGTTATGTTCTGTCCATGTTACTTTTTCTATCATATCAGTGCAGATCACTGATTTTCGATATCTTATTCCTGTAGCCTCACTGTTCTTTAAAACACTTCGTCTTCCTCATTCTCTTTCTTGCGTTTTTCCTCTGCTAGTATTTCACTACCCGTCAGTTTACCCCATAACAATATTGTACTTCCAATGCGTGCACTACTCATTCCCAGGACTCCTGCATATGTGTACGGGGAGTCATCTCGCAGTGGCAGCAATGGTGTCCTGCCATGACTTTATGGGAAATAGGCAAAAACCAAATGAAAAACTTATCTCTTGAAAAAAAGCTAGTTATCAAGAATGACTCCAGGTTCTATGCGGCGGAGATATACTGGAATATCTTCGTAAAATCGCTTTATCGCACAAGGAAGTTTGTGGCTTCCCAGGACAATTAAACAACACATATATTAGAAACACATAGGGCCCCGCTGTGAAATGATGAACACTCAGCGAAGCCACGCGGTTTACAATGCAACACTGTAAATTTAACAAAATGTTTAATTAAGTCTCTACTGTATGGAACCAGGAGTGGCTTTTGATAACTAGCCCTTTCAACAGATATGGCTTTTAATTCCGCCTATTCCCCATTCATCTACGGAAGGACACCGCTGTGACACACGAGAGGTGGCGCTACGGGCTCGTGTCTCATAGAGTAACTGACCATATACAGTTATTCTATAATGTCTCCAATAGGTCCCCAAGTAGTGGTCATGTTACGAAACTACTGGGGTCACAATTCTCCACCTTCTAAACAAGTCTTGGTAGGAAGTTGATCTTTGACTTCCCGACATGGTTGTGTATAGGTCATGGGATTTAGTACCGGGTCACGTGACTGCATTTTTAATGAAAGCGAAAATGCTTGAAACCTGTATACTTGGACACACGTTAAAAACCCCAGGCGAAATTTCCGGAGCCTTCCACTGGAGAGTCCCTGTTGGGACAAAAAGGCAATAGTTATTATGTCGACACTTATTACAATGTCCTTAGCCAGACAAATCAAACAAAAGAGGTATAGTTACATCCCAGTTAGGAGGTAGCCCTTTCTATAAAGGTGACGCAAATAAAAATGTAATTAAAAATCGCGCTCGCTCAATGAGCTACGCTTAAACTTTGCACGTAAACTTTCGTTTTTTTTTTTGTCTGGCAGTCTCAGCCTGAAGAAATCTCTCCGTCGTGGACAAAACAAGAAAGTTGAAAAAAAGTAGGCTTGACATTTCCAAAGAACAGCGCAAAGCCTTTTCTTGCAACTCGCCGCTATGACCTAGTTGTTATGGTGATAAAAGGGTGACCCTCAGGTCGGCGGAGAGAATCGTTGCCGCGAATATGTTTGGGGCCTGTGTACACTATAGGCCCGTATTCATAAAGCAACCTCGGCCTTACCTCACGTTTTAGTCAACTTCCTGTACTCGCTACATGTGTCATAAAGGCACAAAAATGGTAACAGGGCAAAAAATAAGGACAAGACCAGTTTAATACTGGTCGAATTTGTTATCATGTGCAATAAAGGTTTAAAACCGATATGGAAAACTCGAGGAAATGTGGTGGTTGGTTTGTGAGAATGGGCCTTAGATTTATGACATGGTGTAAGATACAAACACTTTGTATCTTACACCGTGATATAGGGGCACTTCGAACAACCCCAGGACGGCAAAATTTCCGGAGCCCTCCACTACAGAGTCTCTCATAATAATACGCAGTATCTTAATCTAAATATACGGGTCTGTGACGTTCTTGCCTGCGTTATAGTACCCCTTCCTTGTAGTATGGTTTTCGCCCCCTTTATGGTAAATAAAGACGATCATTATGCCAGATTTATTTACTCCAACAATGAGACGCGTAGCTTAATTCTTGTGCGTGTTTGAGTTTCTGCAGTCGCTGAATTTTCGTTTGCATTTAGACGCCAAAATTAAAAGAATGATTCAACAGTGAACTCCTGGTTAACGAGATTTACGTTATGTTGGCGTATGCGTAAATAGCACAGAGGGCTGTTTACGACTTGTAGTTGTGACGGCAGCTGAAGTTAACTTCACAAATTACTGAAATACACATTCGGAATACTTGTTTGTGAGTTTCACAAGCCACATGGTCGTCTGTATTTTGCATTTGATGTTCTTTTCGATGAGTTCCGCTTCCGTGTGCCTACGTCCTTTTAGCGGCAGTGGCTTTTAAAAAGAGCAGAACACGCATTGTGTTGGCCAGAGATGAATTGAGCGTGAAATGTTGTAAAATAAAAGCTCACCGTCTCTTAAGTTTGACTTTTGCGAACGTAACTGCATCTACGCGAAAATTTGACCAATGGTCACCTTTAAACGAACAGAGCAAAGATACGGGCGTCTTGGCTAATGCGTATCTGCAATAGGCCAAGTGCATGTGCGAACCAGGCTTAAATTACATAGCACAACGTATAAATGTCGGGCTGCAAATTTCTCTCGCATGCAGATTCGCATGCCTTGCGGGTCGGCAGGTTTCATAGCCATTAGTTAGCACGCGCATCACTCAGCACTAATTTGGCGCCAATATTCTTTAATGTTCTCTTCACATTTAAGACACTTCATCAATACCGGTGGTATTTTTGTTGCCTTGTACTCTTAGAGTGTGTCCGGGTGTGTACACTTTGTACTGTCTGATGGCCGTCGTTGCTTTGACTACTTCCTGCGCTTAATAGTGCTCGTTGTAGTGTCTAAGTAACTTGGATAAAACTCTTAGTTGTCATTAAGGCAGATCTGTCCATAAAAATGTGTTTAGAGCTCAAAGAGACGTATGCGTTCCCCCCCGCCCCCAAAGAAAAAAAGTGAGCATCATCACGCTGAGAGTACCGCCCCTCTGATATAGGGGGATATTATTTTTTGTAAGTGGCAGAGAAGACTAGTAGGATGATTTTTTTTCTCGTCGCCTTGTTTTTTCGCCGTCGTCCCTCTTGAGGTACTTGTGCTTGGTTGCTTTTTCACCGCGATTTAGATGTTCAGAAAGTGCAAAGTAGGATTGTTGTATTCCTGCAATGTGGACTTGGATGAATTGAAGACAGTTTTGACGCGAAAGTGAGGCGCTGTATTCAGCTGTCTGCAAATATGCCGAAGGTAATGGTTGAACATTACACCTTGCAAACACCATTCTCCCTTGCTTTTTATGTGCAAATATTTTCGAGGATTCTTCGTTTCGATTTTGCTACCCCGACTCGCTTTTCCATTCTTCACAGAGCTGAACGACAGGAAATGTCCTGGCAGAGCTTGTTGTACGAGTCGTAGTTCATGAACGTGTAGCACGAGTGCAAGGCGTGACCGTGTACGTACAACTACTACACGCAAAAGGTGCGGATTGTACTCAGATATCTCGCAGAAAAAAAACCCAGAATGCTCCTTTGTAGAGCCACGCGAGTGACATCCTTCTTTGCATGCTTTGACTTTTTTGATAGGCAGCTATAATAATTCTTGACTGATACGCTCAAGCCATATGCGGCCAGTAGGACATGCGCCCCACTATTCCTCATGGCCTCCAGCAGTCCGCTGTTTGTCTTTCAAATATTGTGGAAGAAACAGCATTCTTATGGTGTTTTCATATGCGGTTGAATTCATTTGAGAAACAGTAAAACAGGAACCATCGGCAGATTTTCCACGCTTGACAAAAATGTATGCGCAGGTGGCCCCCTTTTATTTATTACGTTGCCGCTACGTAAACGCTTGTGTATATGCGTGTTACTATACATTATGTCTCAACGTGATATATTGCTGCTTTGAGACCTATTCAATGGTTCCTTACCTCGTAAAAAAAACGAAGAGATCTTAGGAAACACCAAAAGGAACAGGGTTTGAGACGAATTTGAATTCTGACGTTCTGCGCGCTACAGATGTGTTCTGACACAGAGCCACAC